TTCTTTCCGCGGGACCGACTCCCTGTTCGTGCTCACGGAGGGTCCTCGTAAGGGTCGGGCCGCGTCGGCGGCTACCATCTCTAGGTGGATACGTACCGTTGTGACTCAGGCGTACGCCGTTAGGGGGCGTGAGCCTCCGTTTCCTGTCACTGCCCATTCTGCTAGGGCTGTTGGGGCTTCCTGGGCTTTCCGACACGGGGCCTCTGTTTCTCAGGTTTGTAAGGCCGCTACTTGGTCTTCTGTTCACACCTTTGTTAAGTTCTACAAGGTGGACGTGTTAGCATCAACGGATGCTGGTTTGGGGCGCAAAGTGTTGCAGGTGGCGCTTTGAGGGGTCTTTTGGGTGTTTTGTTGTTGCCCATCCCTACCATTCAGGATCTACGATCTGTTGCCTGTGTCCTTCAATGAACGGGAGAGAAAATAGGATTTTTGTACTCACCGTAAAATCCTTTTCTCTCCGTTCATTGAAGGACACAGGCCCCGCCCTCTTTATGGGGTGTACACTCCTAACTGCTTGTTACTAAACTGGAGACTTGTCAGCAGGTGGGGGGTTTGGCCACCGGCAGGGGCCGCCCCTAGGCTGTAATTGGTCTTTGGTTTTGTGCCTAGCGTCCTTCTCCTGCAGGTGGCGATATAACCCTACCATTCAGGATCTACGATCTGTTGCCTGTGTCCTTCAATGAACGGAAAGAAAAGGATTTTACGGTGAGTACAAAAATCCTATTTTTTTTCTTTTTTTCCTTTTCCTCCTCCCCTGTTAACACATAAAAAAGGAGTGTTTTTGCTCTGGTTTGTACACCTCTGACCCTTGTACACTTTTATAAATGAGATGAATCATTGCAGACCGTGAACATGGGCCTATGTAAACATATGTCTACCAATTTTAAAGCCCAATTCCAGAGAAATTTAAATATATGCTTTGCTGTGGGTCTTTACCCACAGTGCAAGGGATAACTGCTCATTCATACATAGGGAACAGGAAAAATCTGTTGTATTTACCTGATCCCCAATTCCTCTGGCGGTTGGTGCTCACCTGGTGTCTCCTCCTGCTCGGCCCTCATGTACAATGCAGGGCTATGTAGCATGCATTGTATTTGATGGCATCAGCAGTCCTCCAACCGCTGGAGCGAAGGGGGGGGAAGAGGATACAGGGACTGGTCTAGCAGCCTGGATTTGAGCCAGCTGGAGTGTGAGGATCAGGTAACTAAAACAGCTTTTCCTTTCCCTTAGGAATAAACAGACAGTTAACCCTTGCAGCTTGGGACAGCCCCATAGCAAGGGAAAAGTTTTAATTTCCCTGCAGTTGGGCTTTACAGATAAACGCCATATGTTTTATCAATTCTGACAAAATGGTAACAGTATTTTAATTTTCATGATGTTGGGTATTTTGTATTCTGCAGTTTTGTAACCTTATAGTACAGGCAGTACCAGAGTTACGAACATCCAAGTTATGTACGACTCCTACTTACGAACGGAGGTCCCAGGCTGTTCCACTATGTGTAATGCTCCTGTGCTCGTGCTGATCGTAATACTGTGCCTCCTGTACATTACAGGAAGGTGTTAAGCTGCACATACATCTTGCGATCATCGGACGAAACTTTTCATCTGATGATCGAACCGTCGCATGCTTTTCGTACGGCGGCCCCATCCTGCCCCGATTATCGCAAGGTTGAATCAGCAGTAATTAAAAGAAAGCACCTGGACGAATTACAGTAATCGACCGCACGTATTTTCGTCTGCGCGTGAGCAGTGTAAATCGTGCGAATTTTGACACAAACGCCACCAACCTTGCGAAAATCGTACGATCGACCGAAGTTTTCTAACCTGCTTGTTAGTCAAAAGTCGATCGATTGTACAGTATTTGTAGTTGTTCACTGCCCATCAACCTTATGAATATCGGACGAAAACGCGATCGCATACGAAAATCGGCTGATATTCGTAAGGTTTATGGGCACATTAAGACATGCAGATGAGGAGTGCCTGCCTCTTCTTCTGGGTCTGGTACTGTACATTACAGGAAGTTGTACAAACATCTGTTCAACTTGCATTTAAAGTAAAACTCCATGCAAAATGTATTTTTTTTTAGTTTTGGTTAGTATGGTGTGGGGTTAGAGCCACTGTGAAGAGAGCAAAACAAATGTTACAGTTTAACCCTTCCCTATGCTATCCAAAACGAATAAAAATATTTTTGGCTGGAGTTGCACATAAAATTTTTTTCCTGTTCCAACTTGCATACGAATTCAACTTAAGAACAAACCTACAGTCCCTATCTTGTATGTAACCTGGGGACTGCCTGTACTGCAAGAAAATAGACATTCGGTTTCAATTCTAGCCAAAAATATATTTTGACCAACCCTGCATACTCAAATTTTGTTTATATTGAACTCTATGGAGAATACCTTTTTTGATGCTGATCTTTCCTAATCTCTAGATATGTCCTTGGGAGGAGACAGGTGGGGCTTTTCACTGGGTTTATAAATGAATCTCATAAAAAAAGCCCTGAACTGGCATCTGTGTTTACAGGAAAGACCCAGGGAATCCTACCTTACAATTTACACTCTATGCATATGCCGTCCGATGTGTTTAAAGGTGCCCATACACCTGTCGATTATCGTACGATAATCAGCAGGTGTATGGAAGGCGTGCGACCGTTTCTACTGTACGGTCGCACGTCTTTTGCCTTACGAGCAGGCTCGAAAACCCGCCGAAAATCGTACGATTGTCGGCGGATTTGTGGCCTGGTCGTAAGACAAATGCTGCACGGGCCGGTGTGCGCAATGATCGCAAGTACGATCTGCCTGTCCAAGATGGCCAGAACGTACGTTTTTTTAATTACCTTACAACCATCGCAAGACAAAAAGTCCTGCGATGGTTGTAAGGTGTATGGCCAGCTTTATACTGGGTTTCTTCTGTTCAAAATGTGAGGTAGCTACTACTGAATAAATACCGGTGGGTTTGTATCTTGTAGCAGCTAAATGCCTCCACATACTTTTATCTGTACAACTGAACATATCCTGCATATGCCCGGTCCCTGAGACCCCTCATGGCACTATATGTAGTGTTTGACTTTTGAGCTGAACGTTATAGTCCTGAGCTCAGTAGATTATCAGTTTAGTTAGAGACTGTTTCTAACCTGTATTAAGAAGTCTTTTACTAAATTCCCTTAGCAGTGTGGTGGAGACATCCTGATAGAGAATTCTGTATGAACACGAAAACTGCTTCTCTTTCAGTTCAGACAAAGGATAATGTGCATTGTCGGAGGATGTGGAGGGGAGTCACACATGGAGTATGTAAAATATATCCCAAATATGAGGGGTCCCAGGTGTACAAAAATTTTTGAAAAGCAGACAATTGTCCCAGGAGTGTATCTTTTTATTTGACAGCAGAATTAGCCACATCAGGAGCACTTAGCAAAGCTACTTGGACAAATATATTGAGCTATTTATGCTTCTGCAAAGTGTTCTTGTTGCCAATAACAATCAGACAGAATTTCCCTTTTACTTCTGAGCTTGCTCTGGGAAAAAGTCAGATTGGAAGCTGAATATGGGACATCAAGAATTTCCTAAAAATAAATTCATACATGAAGCCACTGGTTCTTGCATATAACTAAGATCTCAAGTGTTTGGATCGCACACCTTGCTTACAGTGTTTTTACCACTCTTCATATCCAAACCGTACACTCTGGTCTCCTGATACCAGGCTCTGTATCCCTAAAAAAGTCTTGTCCTTTCCTCCTCCTGATTATTTTATGCCCGAGTACAAGCAAAAGCTAGGTCATATAGCAGCAGCATATATTGTGTGTTTCATGTACCCCTGTTTCACATGTATCTTTGTGCCTATTAAGTCATTTATTGTTTTAACACCTCAACTTCATTATCAAAATGTCACCTGTTCATATGTATAGCTACAATGTATCTAAACTTTTTTTTAACAGCAAGAATGGAATTATTTTTTTTACCCATAGTTCAGCAGTCTATTTGGTCTGGTTTGTTTTATATTTTGCTTCTACTGGTGCACTTAACCAATACTGGTGTAAGTTTGTGAAAAACAAACTTTAAAAGCGTGTGGTGGTGTGTTGCGATTCTTGTCAGATTTGCATTCGGTTCTGTGTAATATTCTTACCTAAGAAAAGTACATTCCTGAGCTTGAGATTCTTCTTTATTCCATTGGAAGTAGGTACAGCTGCCGCTCGTAAAGAGATAATCCGGAATAAAATTCGGGCAATCGGCAAGATGGCAAGAGTCTTCTCTGTGCTCAGGTAAGCCAACAAGTAATGTGATGGTCTTGAATAACGGATATGATGTCCGTAATCTGCGTAGGAAATGGAAGTTGAAATCCTTGTTTCCTTTTATGGCTTTCATTAAGCTGTATGGGCATTTTAATGGGGGTGGGGGCGACTTATGATAAATCTGCATTAAAAAGTCATAACTGGAATTACATGACTTGGCCTTGCACCAAAACTTTCATTTTTGACACGGGAACATTTCTATGCAGTGAATTGATTTCTTTATCTCTCCAATCAAAATAATTTTCACTGCATTTGGTAATCTTGTGGCAGTTTTAAAAGTTTACCTTCACATTCAGCCCAAGTAATCTGCCACCCATGGTTCAAAACCACTGCAGTGCCTAGTTTCCAAAGTCACTGGATAACAATGGAAACTCTGAGTGGCAGATTGCCATGGTTGAAATCTGAGAGAGCTATAAAGTTGCAGCTTAAGGCCAGCCAGAAACGCCTCAATTTTGATTCCAGCTTTATGTGAAGGTGATTGGGGGATGTGAAGAGTAGACACATGAGCACCCAGGAGCAATAGTACTGCTCAATTTAGAAGATGTGATTTGCCTTATCCCTACTAAATCAGTTCATTGGCAGATGGCTCAGTGTGGTGTGGGGTAAGGGCAGATCTTTCACTGAAAGGCATAAGAGGTTTACCCGCTTTATGGCTAACCTTAGTCAGTGTATGTAACTATACCCTAGTTATATGGCCTCCTGCAGCTTTTACAACCACAGTGCAGAAATCCCCGACCCTGCCAGTGCATTATTTCCCCATAGACAGCAATCGGGGCAAACTTTGTGTGTCTACAGCCATGTAGACTTACAATGGGAAGTTGCCACATGGGGGGCCAATAGCACCCAAGGAGATCTGTGCACTGTGATGGGAATTTACCAAAACTGGAGCAGACAGAATCTGGAGCACTTGCTCATGGCAACCAATCGGCTTCTAGCTTTCATTTTCAAATCTTAACTGAACAAATTAAAGAGAAGCTGATTGGGTACTATGGTCAAGTGCTTCAGATTCTGTCTGCTTCAGTTTTGATGAATTCCCTCCTGTAAGAGGCTACTGCTGTCAAGGTAAGTACACACCAGGCTAAATAAATTCTAGATTAGCTTGGCAAGGGGGGTGGGATAGGGTGGGTTGGATTGTGTACTTGTTCTTCTAAAAGACAAGTTGTCCACACCCCCTCCCTCCCGTAAGCCACACACTGAAATACCTAAAAGTGAAGCTGTCCTTTAAGGCCAGCTATTAACTCGTTTAGCGATAAGGATTAAGATTTGAATAGGATAATGATAAGCTGGTTTCCTGTTGGGTAAACCCAGATGCCTACCTGCACCCATAGTATTTTTAAACTAGTTTCATTGAAAGTTTCAGAAATGACCAGATTTGCATATAGATTTATACATAGTGAAGGGGGAACATTTGATTTTTCTCTGTGTTGCTGGCAGTTTCTACACAGGGACCAGTAATTGCAATGAGATCCCTGCGTAATGTCCCTTAATGCGCGCACACACACAGTTTATCAGAGAGAGTAATTTCCCCGAGACCCAACCAAATAAAAGTATTTAGCAAATCCAACAGTGATTAGATCCGTGAAGCATCTTAACAGTAAATTGCTTACGAAGTGAAACTCTATACACACATTTATATGACAAATATTTGTATGTAGTAGTTTTGAGATGTTACATCTTTATTCAATTTGCTTTTTTATTTGACATCTTTGTTGTTGTTATAACACAAAGATGATCCCCCCCCC